TTTGCACAAGTGTGAAAATTTAAATAAGTAAAAATAAAAACACACAAAATAAACATGGATAACTGTCGAAATCAGAAAAAAAATTAAATTCCATCAAGCCTATTTATACCGTTACTTATGGGGGGGCACACTCTACATTGTAATCTGGTTTATTATTATAATCTTGTTTAAGGAGAACAAGGAGTAACTTTAAAGGAGTACTGCAAAGGGAGTTTGAGGAGAGATCAGCTTAAAGGGCAGCATAGCACGTGCAGAGAGCAGATGGAATTACACACCACTGATGGGCCACATTCCTGCCCTGTTATCACACTGCATCATATAAGGTACATTGAGCTTTTATGAAAAGCAAAAGAGGAATAGATGGTTCAGTGGATTGGTGAGAGGCTGTGGAACCTCTAACCTTCAGGTCATCATTTCTAAGCCAGCCTTGGTTTGATAGTGACTGAAAGTTGTGACCGAGTTGTGACTTTCCAGTGGCCCTTGCGTGAAATGAATCTAGTGGATCTTAGTCCAATTTGCAATAGACTAGATGACACCATATAGATCGCTTCCACAACTGGCATTAATTGCTCCTCCAGAAACCTGCACTGTTGCAGTCTCAGCAGAGATGCAAGGAATTGATGGGATCACGGAGACAGAGCTCCCTTCTTGGACCATTTAAAGACATTTGAGGCATATAGGCAGGACAGCATGCAGATAATTTTTCTCTGCTGCTGCCCATGCTCTGTGGATGGACAGAGGCCTTTGGCCCCTAGGACTGGCAACCTGGCACCTTTCATCAGCACTATATAGAAGGGAAACTCCCTCACAATGTGGAGCAAATAGCAGGATCAAAAACCCATCACCTCCACATAAAAGCTGTTAATGTTTGTATGCATGCTCCCCTGGTTCGCCTCACCTCAGAGGAAGCAGCATCTCTCATCTGGTGATTAGCAGATTGCTAATCACACACTGCAATAACTATGAACAGCTGTCGTTACACAATTCATACAGCAAGTGCTTTGGAAAAGCCGGCTTTCTCCTTCTGGACTCATACTCTAGTTCACTTCATCTCCCCTCCATAGACTTTCCCTCTCAAGGCGAGCATGCGGGGCCCTGTGGGATTTGCAGCAAGCAGCTGATAATCACAGGCAAAGCCAATAGAAGCAACACCCAGAGAGAGGTGACATGCTCTAGTAGACCAACCACACGGTACTGGGAACCACAGACCGAATTCTAACTCTGACTCACTACGTGACCAGAGGCGAGTCACATCCTCACTCTCTGCCTGAGTTTCCCCATCTGTAAATTGGGGATAATACCTGTCTTATGTGATGCTTCATTCATTCCTATTCAGGAAGTGCTATTAGATGCTCAGATGGAATTTGCTAGGAAAGGCAAAGTATCGTCAAATCGTATCCACCAACGCAGAAAACTCCACCCAAATCCAGCCTGATGGAACAGAGGATGTTACAGTTAGAGGAGAATTATAGTTCTCTTTACATGCTGCATTTGCCATTCTTGTGATGCTTCAGCACGGCAGGTATCATCATCCCCATATTATATATGGCGAAACAGTACCCGGGTACTATGGCAATGGATGTTACATGAACCCCCAAGACAGACAAACTAATGCAGAGAGGTTAAGAGCCCGCTTTTCCGGTGGTGCTGATCGCCCACAATTCCGTTTAGAAGCAATGAGAACTGCAAGTGCTCATCACTTCCAAATACCAGGCTCTCGGTGACTTGCTGAAGGCCCATGTCATTATCATTCCAACAAGACATTAGGCTCCAGCCTTATACCTAAGGTCCCACACAACATGTGTTCATGTGACCCAGCAAGCCAGAATGCCACTGCACGTTCCCTGTCCACAGTCCTGGGAGACCCCAATACCAGCAAGGCTACAACTGAGACTCAGGGCTTGTCTACACAACATAATAAGACTGCAGCAAGCTGGGGTGTGAATCTACCCCACGCTAGCCAGCTGTTCAGGTAGACCAGTGGCTCTCAACCTTTCCAGACTACTGTAACCCTTTCAGGAGTCTGATTTATCTTGTGTACCCCAAGTTTCACCTCACTTAAGAGCTACTTGCTTACAAAATCAGACATAAAAATACAAAAAAGTGTCACAGCGCGCTATTGCTGAAAAATTGCTGACTTGCTCATTTTCATCATATAATTATAAAACAAATCAATTGGACTAAACACATTGTACTGACATTTCAGTGTATAGTGTACAGAGCAATATGAACAAGTCAGTGTCTGTAGGACATTTTAGTTTGTACCAACTTCGCCAGCGCTTTTTATGTAGCCTGTTGTAAAACCGGGCAGATATCTGGATGAATGATGTATCCCCTGGAAGGCCTCTGTGTACCACGGGTTGAGAACCACTGGTGTAGCCCCTGCCGCTGCACCGTTAACAGTTCGTTAGAGTGCTCTGATGTAGTTCCTCTTTGAAATGGGACTAGCTCAAAGTGTTCTAGCCAATGATTAATGCAAACCACCTGGGTGCACATGGTCCGTTAAACCATGGCAGGCTAGCGTGGGGGTAGATGGATACCTCAGCTTCCTGCAGTCTAATTGTTCATATAGACAAGCCCTAAATTCCCAAACTTCCCAGACTACATGAAGGGGTCGCCCACAGGCCACACTGCTTTTCATACTGGCAATAATAATGGCTTCTCTGCAAATGAGGAGACAGTTTGTCACCAAAGTCAGCTCTTCTCTGTGCGCCCCATGAAGAGTTTACATTCTCCTGCACGTGGTGTCATGTAGGTTAAACTGCATCTGCTCAGCTGTATCACAGCAGCCTATGACAAGATGTAACATGTCACAAATATACAGGGCCAGACACTGAGTATGAGGTTTCCCCGCTGTTCAGATGGAAAAGGTTAATGAAGCAAAATTGCATAAGCTGCATTGTGTGGATGCCCAGGGGTTAAATTTCCCGACTACTCACAAACCAGGAAATTATTTGGTGACTAATTGAATTCCACAAGTACTCCTTTTCTTTTTGCGAATACAGACTAACATGGCTGCTACTCTGAAACCTGAATTCCACTGTTCTTTATACTTAAATCTTCCAGGGAAGATGCAAACACAAGGTCCTGACCACTAGTGATCAGTAAAGATCCCAGGACACTGTCTTTAGGAGAAGGAGTGTTAACCTTTGTGGAGTCCCAGTCAGAGTTAATCTCAGGAAGCTACAGTGTCAACCCAAATTGCACTTTCAAGTGGATATTTACTTCTGCACCTCCTGTTCCTGTGCATGGCTAAACAGTTATTGTATTCCACTGGATTTCAGATAGCTGGATTTCAGAGCTGTGTTAAGAGCTCTCAAATTATTTCACTGACTGCAAATGGGTACTGAGGTTTTTAGTTAAGGTTTGAAGTAATATAAGATGATTTGATGGCATTTGATTATTAATAATATTTTTCTGCTATTATTATCCTTTATTTTGTACGAGCTGGGAGGATTGTTTAAGTAATTCACTCACAACAAGGGCAGATCCTCTTACTTCATTCAAGAAACAGGCTGTGACTAGAGTATCAGACCAGAGACGCATAAAATGAAATCTTGACCCCACTGAAATCAGTGAAAGTCCGCATGGGGCCAAGATTTCACCCACAGCAATAAAGAACCATTTTTGATCATAGAGTCTGACCTTCTGTATAACATAGGCCAGAGATATCTACCCAGTGATTCCCACATCATGCTTAATATTCTGTGGTTCAGTGAGAGCACATATTTTAGGAAAGCATCCAATTGTGATTTATAATTTAAAATATTGGAAAATCAACCATGTCCTTTGGTGAAAGGATCTGACACTTGCTGTCAAAGCATGCCATTAATTCAATTGTCAAAGTATTTTTTTTTTTAAATCATGCCACGTAAAGCATAAGTAGGGCTCAAACGCAGAGCTAGAAATTAACCTTTTTCTGAAGAAGTGAAGGACTAATCCAGATGGATTATTTATTTCAACCAAGGGCATTCTGATACAACTGAAGCTGATCTGATCTGCTGTGCCACTGCCTGGAGGTGATGTTGCTTTCCAGACACTGAAACTGACACATGGAGTGCCTGCTGCTTGCAGGCTCTTCTGTTTTAGTGTCTGGACAGCAGCAGCTCTGGATAGAAGCAACCACGTCACAACAAGCTCAAATTAGGTGAGCTGGGGATGCATCTATTCTCGGTATTTGCCCACATCAAAGCTGACCAATCCCAGAGTCGGATCTCTGCACCAGAGTTTCCAATGCTGTTAAAGATCCACACACACTTAATTAAGATAGGAAACAAGTTGGGTAAATATTAAACTGATTTACTGAGCTTTTCTTTGGCCTATGGAATAAGTTAATTAAGTTATCATAGACTGCTCTTGAATTCGGTAAGCAGCTGAACGTGCTTTCCACCAAAGTAATGCAATTATTTCAGTACTATTTTCACCAACCAGGAAGGAAAGGGGAATAAGGCACACAGACAATCAAAGTAGCTTTGGAATCATTATTTTAGTCCCCAAATTTTTCACTGTCTTTAATTGGACAGAGGCTCAAGTCACTAAATTTAGAATCAAATGGAAAGCGAGAACACCTCCAGGATGAGGAGTGTTCAAGATCTGAGGTTTTCATTGTGCTGTTGATATGAAGCTGGGGGATCATCTGTAAAATTCAGATCAGGATTCATATTTCTTTTTGGAGGGCTAGTGAAAGCCATTGGTGAGTGTGTGTTACAGGTCCTCCTGTTTGTGGCCAATCCTCAGAGGATAGGACTTGTTCAAAATCGCCCTAAACTGTCTCTCTCTAGCTGTAGCAACTCATGCATTTAGTTCTGGAGGTCCCTGGTTCAATCCCCGGTGTGCTGACTGTCACACTAGGCCTTTACTCGGGGGTTTGGTTTGGACAGCAGCCGTAGCCACAGTTAGCCTCGTGCCCAGGGTTAGCTTCTCTAGTTTGTTAACCAGTATGAAGTTCAATTCAAAACTAACTTGGTTATGACTGAAATAAGCGAGGTGCTGTGTCTTACCTTAACACTGTATCCTTGGTCTCTTAAATATTTGTTGCTTGTCTTAAAGATTTCAGGTGACTATTATTCAGCCTATGGAAAATGGGGCTGGGGAGGGGACACAAAAATCAGAATGAATGAATGATTTGTAAAGAATCTGTACATTACCTTTTATAAGTTTTCTACGAGTTCTCTAGAATTTTTAAGCCATGATTTTTAAAAGCAACTAGTGATTTCCAATGCCCAAACTGAGACACCTTAAAGGGGCCCAATTTTCAGAGGGTGCTGAGCACCCCCACCCCAAAATCAGGACCCCTTCGAAAGGTGTTTCTGGTTAGGCATCACAAAGCTACGGCACTTGAAAAAAATCACTAGTTACAACTGAAATCTTGGCTTTAGCCTCTTGATCTCCATCACATTTTAACTAGTCACAGACCATGAGCACATTTGTACATTATTGCAAAACATCAAAGCAAATTTTCAGAACAACAGATTCTGCCCTCAGGTTCATCAGTGCAAGTCATCAGTGCAATATTTGATGTTTTGCCTTGGGTTAAAATCATGTTTTTTAAGCATGTAAGTATAAGAGTCTTCTCTGGAATATTTCCCCTCTTGGGATCTGAGATTTTGGGGCAACTTTTATGTAATTGTGCAATTGGATTGTTTTTCCTGAGAAGACTTTTTTTTTTAAATTAGTTTCTCAAACAGCAAGCATTTGACACAGTAAAGAGTGGATGGAGTTACATGGGGGATGCAAATCTGGAATAACAGAGTAGAATTTGACCCCCAAAACAGAAACCATGTAAACGGACAAACCTTACAAAGATTTAACATTAGCATCTTTGCTTCACAGAGCTTAGAACATACATGTCAAAAAAGCAACCTTAAGATGACGTGATGAGCCACTCCCTCTATGGCTGGCTCTAAATCATGGGATCACAGATATAATAGATAGGTTTTGATAATTAGATAATGCACTTCTTCTCCCTTAGGATTGTTCCCTTCAGTACATTTATTAGTATTTTGCCCAAACGAGGTGTAAAAGTCCCAAGCAATGCAGAGTCCAGTACTTCCCAGAGAAGACAACTTCACAGCTTAATCCTGCTCGCTGTCAGGATTTCCCATCTCCCCATTCAGTCTAAATTTCCCCTCTTTCCCATTCCTCCTTGTTTTACTTCTTTGTACCAAACTAAACAATCCCATCTCCCACAATACCCTTCAAGTATTTACATAAATTCATGCTCCCCTCATCCCCAACCAATTTAATTATGGTTTTGGCAAAATGCACATATTTCGCTCCTTTAACCTCCCCTCAAACTCAATCCATTCAGTCCCCTGATAATTTTATTCTCTCAACTCCTTTCCAATTGGCCAATCTGGCAAATGGAAGTACAGAACTGAGTGCGATATTCCAGATGTGGTCACACCACAGCTGTATGAAGCAAACTTCCTCCCACTGTCCTGGGTGGTGGTGGTCTTTGCACACACACTGCTCAGAGCTGCATTTACCCTCAGCTCTCACAACATATACCACTTTTTTTTTTTTTAAGTCCAGGAAGAAATAAGCCAAGAGGACCCCTAGCTAAGTTGTTAAGAGTGTAAATAATTCCTTCACAAAGCCCTTATGACCAAAACTGGAACATACAGGGAGAGAGACTAATGTTATGGCTCAGTGGGGTAGTTCCAGATACCATATCACTTGGTCATCTTTTTGACAGCATCACCATTCCATCGTTTGTACAGCTAGGAAAACAAGTTGCCTCTAGACACATTCCAATCACAAAATGGCATTAAGCTACAAACCATCAACAGACCTCAGAGAAGCCTTTGTTACAGACATATTTAAAAGCCTGATCTTAACCAGTAAGAACATAAGAACAGCCATACTGGGTCAGACTAATCATCTAGCCCAGCATCCTGTATTCCACCAGTGGCCAATGCCAGGTGCCCCAGAGGGAATGAATAGAACAGGTAATTATCAAGTGATCCATCCCGTCACCCAATTCCCAGCTCCTGGCAAACAGAGCTTAGGGATACCATCCCTGCCCATCCTGGGTAATAGTCATTGATGGACCTATCCTCCATGAACTTATCTAGCTCTTTTTTGAACCCTGTTATAGTCTTGGCCGTCACAACATCCAAGTTCCAGTGGTACAGCCTCAATTACGTACCACTGCCTTCAAAGAGAATCTGCTCTTAGTCTCACCTTCCTTTGTGGATTATATCTAACCAGATATATACCTTCTGCTGGGGTCTGAATGTGAGCTATTAGAAGCCTCATCCTTTCCCAACTCAAGCACAAAATAAAAAGGTAATATCCATTGAGTAATTACCAGCTGCTGAGCTCACCCGTGTAACAAAATGCTGGAGGGGAAAGGAGGATGCAGGAACTTTTATATCCACAATTTGCGATTATGAAATCACACTCACCTGGGAAAACATCCAAGAACAATGTTTGCCTGTACTGGAGGAGTCAAATTTCTGGCAACACAAATGAAACCAGAGGCCAAATCTGCTCTTGCAGTTACATCAGTGTGAATCCATGTTAACCCCACTAGAGCCAATCGAGTCATTCCCATTGCATAGGTGAGAGTCTGGAGTAACTCCACTGAAGTCAGCTGAGTTGGTCCCGTTAGGCTAGTGTATCACAGCAGAATTAAGTACAATGGGTGTAATAAGAGCCAATAGCCGCATTTTATTTGGGAAACAGACAGGTAACAACGAAGGAGAGTTTGGTGAAAACCCAACACCTCCTTCTCACATACCCAAATTCCTTAACATCTTTCCCTGGAACAGGAAGCAGCCCCTCTGCACTCGGTTTAAAGCACATACTCCCAGTCCTAGGCCCTCAGAGGATTCAGGCTTTAACCTTTCTGTACAGGAAGGCATGCACCTTATCAACATGCAGCATTATGGGACGGAAACCACAGTCAGGCGGAATAAAAACCAGTAGTGCCAGGCAACCCACCAGTCAGGAGGAAAAGGTCAGCAGGAGGTTTTGTGTTGGAAATAAGCTCATGTCACTGATCGTGCTGAACCAAGAAGTTAGGAAAGCCAAGTATGGAGTACAGGGACAGGTTTCTAGGTTATACTAAGAAGGGGGAAAAAAAACCAATGTGGGAGACCCCCATCTGCAGTCGGCTCAGCTCAAGGCCCAACACACTGCTTATAACCCATTTGAGACCTGCACGGAGGACCTGCTCCCGAGGGAGCTTGCCTGAGACAAACCAAACAGGGACCTCTGAATTGTGGCCTTGTGTGCGCTAAATTTAACTGCCTCCATCCTACTTCCCGGAGAGAGAGAGCGCGCGCGCGAGCGCCCAGGGAATGGAGCTCAGTAATACCTTAAAGGGAGGGGGAAGTTGATAAATAGCGTATCCTCTTCCCTTCCCAAATGTAGAGCTGGGCAGTGTGACAGCTTTGGGAAATATTCCGAAGGCCAACTCTTCCATCCCCCCCCTCCATCAACAAGCGCCCACAGTCAGGGTCAGCAGAGGTGGCTTCTGCAACAACGGGGAAGGAGAAAGGAAGCCTCTTTGTCCCCAAAGCCACTGAATGGCAGCAGATTCATTTCAGGGTTGCTAAAGCTGTAACTTAAGGGTCTATGATGGGAAGGAGGGTGGAGTGAGAGTGGAATCCACCTGTTTTACAAACATGCAAAATATACACCAACTGGAGCACCAGGTCCCCTCCTGCCCTGCCTTCCTCAGCCCTGTTGCACATGGACACTCACAAAGTTCCTTGTGGGGCTGTCCTCTGCAGACATCTCATTCCCTACGCCACGCATTGGAAACAGAATTCCACTGCCTCTGGGGTCACCTATGGGTATAAGGGAGCAAGCAGGAGCCAGCCCTGAGGAAGGAAGAAGAGGGAGCAGAAATAGGAAAAAGTCACACCAGCTGCCGTGACAAGCTCAGAGAAACAATCAACAGTCTCACCAAGAAAATACTTCTGTTTGTCCTCAAAGGGCTGAAAGAACAAAGCAGGATTTGTGGTTTCTCACTCCCCTGCAGGAATTCACATTCTGGGACATTCTAAATGCCATTTTTCTACAGAGAATTTAATTATCAGCCATACCCAGAATGCAGCAAGCAAAAAAACACCAACATGCGCCTGCATTAGCACAAGCACTGGGATAGGCTCAAGGCAGTGACATTAAAGAGATCCATACATCTGAGCCAGAGAATCACAGGAGTCGCCAGTTATGTCTTGACTGCAGAGCTAGCCTGCGCTTCAACCCAGGTGTTGCTCCAACCCTCCTTCCATGCACATACAAAAACCTCTAACCTGGTCTTGAGGGTGATTTAAACCAGTGGTTCCCAAACCTTTTACTAAGGTGACCTGCCAACTGCATTTTATCTTTTTTTGCCATTCACAACAACACATATGCCCCGGCACCACAACCCAAACCTTGGCCAGGTGGAGAGGGGAAGCCCCAGGGAATGGGGGGGAAGAGAGGCAGAGGGGTGGAGAGCAAGCCCACAGCGGTGGCTCCTGTCCCATAGGGCTGGCCCCAGTTCTCTGCTCAAGGCATTGCAACTTGGCATGCGGTGTCACAGCATCACTCAGGTTTGGCCCAGCCGCCCCGCATAGTGTGATATCAGCAGGACCCATCCATTGTGAATGACCTCACAGAGTGGCCCAGTTTAATGCATGGCTAAGAACCAGCAAACAGCCTGCTCGAAATCCAGCCCAACACAGAGGCTATCACACAACGCACAGGCACCATTGTAGACGCAGCTGCACAGGGACGCAGCCGCAGGCTTTGCAATGGGAGTGCTCTAGCACGGCTAGCCTAACTCAGCAGTGATGGCATTGAGTCAGAGTTTAAGGCTGAAGACCAGATCTAGTCTGACCTCTCAGGTATCACTGGCCACCAACATGGCCCAGCACCTGCAAACTAAACCCAATAACCCAAATTAGACCCAACGTGCTCAATAACTTTATAATTTAGACACAGAATACATTTTTTTTCCTTTTCACGTGTAAGGCTGCAGGAGCCGGTGGAGGTCCAGCTTCTGATACAGCTCCAGAAAGCAGGTATTCCTTCAGCAATGTATCAATCTCTTTTTTAACAAGATGTTTTACAGGTTGCTGGCCACCTCCCG